TAGGTAAAGGGGTGCTGAGTGCATGCGTAAGAGCTTGAATAGAAAGCAAGAAAAATAAACTCTTTCTGCTGCAGTCTGTGAGGGTGTCAAGATTAGCAGGCCGAACATTTGAAGGAAAGAAGATATAAAGTGTCTCCTCAGAAGTGTCTCCTTTAGTAGTAGATATGTAGGGGCTTAAAGGAGACACCTGAACGCCTTCATATGGATCTACTGTCTGATTGGAGACAGAGCGACAGAGAAGGAGACATTATTATATGCGAAGTAAGACAACGAGATAAATCTCTCACTTAAAATATATTAAATATTTAACAAGTAAACAAATAAGCAAATGAATGTATGTGGAAATAAACTTATTAGCTGAGCTGCTGCTTGTAAAAGATATTATTTTTGCTTCCTACAGCAAAGGAGACACTAAGACAAAGAAGAGATTAAAAATAATCTAAGGAGACAGATAAAAGATATTGAAATCTATTTCAAACAATTCATAAACTTTATTAAACACATTAAAATATGTGCTGTATAGACACCCAAACGCAAAGGAGACAGTTCGTCATTAGCTGTCTCCTCAAGGTCAATGAACAGCTATCGAGACAAAGGCTAAGGGCCTTAGGCCCTTAGCTACCTGCTAACTTTTATATTGTTTATTAAAAAATATCTTTTACGTTTTATTTAAAAGATATAAAATGTTTATTATTATCTTTTATATTATATTTAAAATCTATTTTCTTCTCTGTGAAGTCAAGAAAACTTCTTTGGAGTCACTCACTCGCAAAAGGAGACAGACACCCGCACTGTCTCCTGTCTCCTTGTGCTAGCTTATTCACCCTTCCCCGAAGCTTTTAATTAATTAATTAAGTTAATTAATTAAATTAATTAATTAATTTATTTATTCATTCATTGCAGAACCAGCAATCGATCGAAGCCAGGTGTCTTCTCAGCTCGGGGTCTTATAAGCCCTTTCTTTGTTGTTATTATTAATCATCTGTCTCTCTACAGCAGCAATCAATACACCTCTTTTCAACCCTTAAAATATGTTTCTTTGTTTATGTACACTGGTAGCAACAACAGCAAAAGAGAAGGAGACACTGTCTCTGCTGTCTCCTGTTCTTCTTCTTAAAGGAGACGGGGGCTCTGCTTTCTCTCCGTCTCCTTCTCTGTAATTAATTAGATTATATTTGATAATTAAATAATACTGCAAGACTTAAATTGGGTTTAATTATAACTTACAGTAAAATTAACTACCTCATTTGTATGGGCTTCTTATTAATGTCTCCTCATAAATAAACAATAATACAATGTACACTGGTAGCAACAACAGCAAAAGAGAAGGAGACACTGTCTCTCCTGTCTCCTGTTCTTCTTCTTGAAGGAGACGGGGGCTCTGCTTTCTCTTTGTCTCCTTCTCTGTAATTAATTAGATTATACTTGATAATTAAATAATACTGCGAGACTTAAATTGGGTTTAATTATAACTTACACTAAAAATAAAAATATAAAGGAAACTACCTCATTTGTATGGGCTTCTTATTAATGTCTCCTCATAAATAAACAATAATACAAAATATTAATAAGATAATATATTAAAATCGCCTATTGTAATAAACAAAAAATGATTAGAATGCATTCAAAAGGAGACACTTCACGGGTTAGGGTAAATACTGAGGTGTATAGGCAGGTGCTTATCTATGAGTTTAATAACAGAAGTGTCTCTAATTGAATTGCCTCTACTTAAAGTGTTCGCTTAAAGTGTCTCTACTTAAGGTGTCTCTACTTAAGGTGTCTCTACTTAATGTGTCTCTAATTAAAGTGTCTCCTCTTGAAGTGTCTCTACTTGAAGTGTCTCTAGTTGAAGTGTCTCTACTGACACTTCAACTAGAGACACTATCTCTAATTGAAGTGTCTCTGCTTAAAGCGTCCCTAATTGAAGTGTCTCTAATTAAAGTGTCTCTGCATAAAGTGTCTCTTCTTGAAGTGTCTCTTCTTGAAGTGTCTCTACACGAAAAAACAACTTAGGCAAATTCCGCATGTTGTCTGTCTTTAGTTTAATTTGTAAATTATACTGTACAAAAAAAAGACACAAACATAACACTACGCGTCCCTCTTCAATGCAGGTCCCTGTCTGCTGTCTGCTGCTGCTGCTGCTGCTGCTGCTGCTGCTGCTGATGGCGATGCTTCTGCTGCTGCTGCTGCTGCTGCTGCTGTTGCTGTTGCTGCTGCTATTGAGGTGCGTCGCCGCTCTCTGCTGCGCAGGCAGAGGCACCCGCACCTCTCTGGCTACTCTACATCACCAGCAGCAGCAGCAGCAGCAATAGCAGCAGCAATGGCAGCAGCAGGAGCAGCAGGAGTACTGCTGCTGCGTTGCTATCCCGCTTGTCAAGGAGACACCTTTATTGAATGTGAAGGCGCCTCATGATGAACTAAAAGATAGATAGTTATAACGAATATCTTTGCTCAGGTGTATGTACACCTTAAGACATACACCCAAGCAAACAGCTAAAGC